ATATATATATATATATATATATATATATATATATAAATATATATATAGATATGTCTTTCTTCCCTTATGAAGGCTCCAAGCTGGGCATATTATCTAGTGAACCAGGCATCTCCTAGATTTGAACGAAGGGCCTGCCATGAGAAGCATTTCAATGCCGTGTTTAGTGTGACATGAGTCTAATTTCTATGATAGAGGTGTTCTTTTAAGGATGACTGAAAACCATTACCTCTTAATGGGAAATATGTATGCATGCTGGATAGGTTAGGACTCTCTTAGCATCGTATGTTTAATTATGGAGATATCCATGTTGCTGATGAGTTGCAATCAATTGTCACTACAGGATAGAGATGGTCAGGCAATAATAGTTGCAGTTAGAGACATCCACACAGGCGAAGAGGTATATGTCTCAACTTTTGACTTTGAATTGGGCTCCAAACTGGCCTGTTTTTTATCTCAGTATGAGCACAGTGTCCTGTTGTGTACGTCATTGCAGCAAGTTTATTCTTGCATGTATGCTTCGCCATAATTATTCGGTTCTTATTAAGGATTTTTGGCTAATACATACTCAAATTGGCCGCTTTTGTGATCCTCTCCTGAAAATCCGTGCAGATTACAATTTCATATATCGATGAAGACCTTCCTTATGAAGAGAGACAAGCAGCACTTGCAGATTATGGTTTCAAATGTACCTGTCCAAAGTGCCTCGAAGAGTCCAAACATTGTAGCTCACTTGAAAAATGACATTATATGCCAAGTATGATTTATTTCCTAAATTATTTTTCGATGGATAAGCCAGTATGAAGCAGAAACAGAAGCAATATTAATTTTATTTTTATTTTTTATTTGTTCTATCTTGAGAAATGAAAGCAATGTGGCAAGTACCAGTTGCCTCTTCCCGTACAGTTCAAGAGCCTCCAATTAGAATCTAGACACCTTCTAAATATATATGGTAGCTTGTTCATTAGAAAACATGACTGACGATTGAGGCTCTATAGTTTGTTTTTTTCTTTTCAGGAATGTTAACCTTAAACGAATAATAAGTACAAAATTCCAAAAGATATAGGCTATCCACAGGGCGGAAGCCCTATATACAAAAAACCCCATCCATAAGGGTTGTGGTGTAAAGATACACAGTAGGCCTTTTTACACTAGTTACAAAAAGTTAAAAAGGGTACATCCAAAAAGAGACCGTCCAAAAACAGGTTCCAAGGGGGGTCTTGGGCTACCATGTCCTTAGTGAGGGTGTCTGCTACCTGGTTTGATTCCCTCCACGTATATCTCTAGAAGGCAAGTATATCCTACAATGGTGTTCAATTTCATAAAAAAATGTGAGTCAGGGCCCACTGGGGTACAAGAGTTTGAAGCCCAGACAATAACGTTCATAGAATCTCCCTCAATAATAATAGAGACATTCCAGTGAGGTTCGAGGAGCCTGACCCCTATAGTAGTGCCAAAGCTTCCTCTGCTGTTGAACAGGCCTGACGGATATGTGTAGAAATAGAGGCATGGGTCGAACCACAGTGGTCCCCGATAATGGCCCAATTCCCACTAGTCCAGGGTTTCCAAAAGAGCAGTTATTTTTTCCAATTATTATTTGATCCATGAGGTCAGTCTCACTATTCTCATGTCAACAGAGAACCCGGATTTTTTTTGCGGAGGGGTGTCCTACATGATCATAACTGTCTGGACCAAACATGCCTTTTGTGTAGGCAGATTTTTGCAAGTACAACGGAATGCAAATGCTGAATTATGTCAGGCCTACGATTTTGAGTGGTTCCTTGAAATATGGGGGTGACTCCTTTACAAGATAGAAAAAGTACACTTTTTATTAATTGAAAGGGCATTTTGCCGTGGTTAAAGTGATTCTGGTGTCCAAAAAAATACCTGGATGTGTCTATATCAGAAGCTGCTTAATGTAAGAGAGGCGCATGACATACAGTTGGAAAATGAAATTTTATGCATTCACATGACAAATTTCATATCCCACATAGCATTGGATTGAAAGAGAACATGAATCTTCATTTTTTTCTTTTTTTTCCTATGCTTTTCCATTATGACTTGTCAGTACAAGATCTCAGGAGGTGAAGTTTTTGGTGTTTCTTCAATGGACAATTCAATCTCATTGTCTAAATTCCACATGACTTTCTCAATTTTATGGGCTGAGGGGTTGCACATCATCTCCTTCTCCAAATGCAAGCAATAGCTCTCAAACACCCGAGAACTCACCATAACACCGAAATCCAATAGGAATAACATTTCAAGTTCCAGCCGGTTCAACTCTGCATTACTCACACCTCCAACCCTAGCATAAAATGCATTGTTATAATGCCTGCAACAAAAGGTAACAAATGGTTAGCTGAATTCTATACTCAGATTCATTTGCCCATCGATCAAGTGGTACATTAACTTCATAGATCAGTAACAACAGGGAGGAAACACAAAAAAAGAATTCTGCTACCCACAAGCATTTTAGTTTAGCCACCCCAGAAAACCACACAGAAATTGTAATTTTATTTTATAAGCTGAATCATCAATTCCGAAAAAATAGAAAATAAAATGATGAAAGTAAAATTTTGCCATTCAGAAAGCTGTCCACAATAACACATGAATAAAATTAAGGTTACACTGGATTAGTATTTGGCTCAATCCAATTAAAATGTAAAACTAGAACTCGACTCAATGGAAATTAGTGCAAAACACAGTAAGCATAGGTCATCTTAATGCCAATTCTAGTGTCAAAATCTCTCTTGTTAATGGAAGCTAGTAGCAATCCCCATAAAAAATTTAAATCCCAGACTAATCAAACACAAACCACTTCCCCCAAAGAACCAGAATCAATCCCACAACTAAACAATCAAACTTCCCCCAATCCCCAACTACCCAACGAGAAAATCAAAAAGCAAAAACACCCCAACTACCCAAAGAGAGAATAAAAAAAAAAACACCCCAACTACCCAAAGAGAAAATCATAAAAGAAAAACACCCAGCATGAACCAGACAAACAACCAAAACCACTAAGAAAACCTAGCCCAGATGAATAATTTCTTTGAAAACTTACACATCGTCGAGCACCTTCGAAGCGACCATGAGACTGGTGACGAGCAATCGATGGACGTTGAGAGAAACCAGGGGCGCATCGGGGTACCTGTGAAACAGACGATCCATGTACACATATCCCACAACAAAGCAGGAAGGGCTGCAATTCGTGTACTTATAAATCCTCTCTAAATACTTTGGAATGCTTATGCTTGGTGCCCTAACGCCATGAAAGACAGCCAAGCTCTGGTTGCTCAGGCTCACTGGGCTTGTTGAGGAGCCGAGCCGCTCGTTTCGAGCCACGAGTCGCTCCAAGACGTAGGAAAGAACCGCGAGGATTCGCGGAGTTGAGGACTCGGCGCCGTCGTATGGTGTGGCTTGCATGGCTTAGGGCACGCCGGCGCTCCCCCGACGGGAAATTCTCATGTTTTTCCGGCGGACGACAATTAAGGAGGGCAAAATTTGCCACGTATTAAAGTGATTGCCTGTGAATCGTAGCTCTCCCATGCCTATCCGCTGCTTGCGCTGTGCTATCAATGCCACGTGGAAATAAAATAAATAAATTAGCTCTCATAAGGTTCACAATATCGTTTTTATTAAGGCACACTGAATAAAAAAGTAAAAATTACAGCCGTCCATACCGTATTTAAATACGGTAATTTCCATGGACCAATTTTCCATCGATGTGAAATTGGGTGGCTACATTTATTTCATGGACCAAATTCAAAGTTTAAAAAATATTTTTTTTTGAACTCTATGATATATTTAAGTCATCGGATTTCACATCGAATGGTTGTAAGTAATTGTAATTTTTTTGGATCAAAGGCATATGGTCTTATTATATACAATCTTTTTACTTTTGATACAAGGTGGTTACCATTAATCTTGACAATTAGGTGTGTAATTGAGTGGCTACATTTATTTCATTGATCAAGTTCAAAGTTTAAAAGAAATTTTTTCGAATACATACCCAAACTATCAGATTTCACATTGGATAGTGGTAAGTAATTCTTTCCTCTATGTATCAAAAAATAGTCTCATATATACAATCACAATTATGAATTAATATATTTTTGTGCAAATATTACGTCGAGGCTCATTTGTTTTTTTCTTTTTTTCTTCGATCAGTGTCGTATCAAAAACATCGGTCCACTATTTTTAATTGTTTGAAGTGTCTGACCATTCGGATGTTTGGAAACATGTTCAACATCGAACCGGCGACGCCTCAAAACTTTTTAGAGGGACATCAGGTGAATTTTCAATTAGGAAACCAAAGTCTTTACTATTGGACCGCCCTACTACGACCTAATTCTTCCACTAATATCAAGTTCAGGTGGTCCGATAGACCACAATTTTTTTCAAAAATTTGTAGCTCCTTTAATCCCATGACCAGTCTTTTACTTGCCTATAATGGAGAGTCTACCTAAGATTTCACCCAATTTTGAAGTTCTTTGTGGCACATTGGGGCTTTTGTGGTCGGGTGGACCACCTACGACATAAAGGATTTGAAAAGCTTTTCTGGTAAGGGATATGATATTAGTTATTTGGGTGAGGGATATGATATTAGTTATATTGGAAGGCACTATGTGCTTTGCTGTTGGAAATTTCGATCTGTTGCCTGCAACATCGGATGGTGTACATTTAAAAATTGAGATTTTTATTGGTTTCACGTTTCCAATATTGGATCGGTCCGTACACATACAAATTAAAATAAAAATTGGTCCGCTATTCACAAACTTAGACCAAAGGAAAAATTGAAAAAAAAAAAAAAAAAAAAAAAACTGACAAAAAATTACCGATCCAGTATTGTAAATGTCAAACTTGTGTACCTCCACATATTTTTTTGATAAATATAAACCACTATGTAGTTGCCATGTTTAAATAGGATATGGATGTAATTTTTCCAAAAAAAAAAAACAAACAAAAGAGAAGAACAACACAGTAGCTCTTACTTCTCATGGTCTCCTTCATTAAACCCCTTGAACTCCGTCATCAGCTTTAAGGCCTTCTAGGCTTTCGAGACGACTCCATCTCATAATCTGAGTTTCCATGCTTCTCACCATAACCCCAAAAAGCATATGCCTTCTTACCATGAGACGCATGACCCGCATCACCTCCAATTATCATTTTTTCACTCGTCTTTGGCACGATCTTACTGATTCGGAAACATATGAGAGAGAGAGAGGGGTAGAGACTCCCACGTAGATATGAGAAATCTCTAGTATTTGTATTGAATTTGTGGGAGAAAATCCCATATATATATACACACACAAAGGTGGTAAAAAAAAGGAAGAAGAATTATATAGCCCGCCTGATCAACGAAATATTATCCTTTCTCTACAAAGTAAATAAATGAAGTATATACAATTTCACACTCTCACTCAAATTCGTAATGGTAAGAAGCGAACTATTAAGAGTTTGGAAACAAGGCTTAGGAAACGAGGAACATTGTGGGATTTCGTAAAGAAGTTAGCAAGTTGTGAGGAAGATGAGATATATGACAGAGAGATTGTCCCAGCTAAATATTCATTTCGAATAAAATGACAATCTACTTCAATATGCTTTGGGCGCTCATGAAATTATGAATTATTAGTAATATAAATGACACTTTTATTATCATAATATAAGAGAGTAGAAGCAGAAGGTTCCACACCCAAGTCAGCTAATAACCAACGAAGCCAGACAATCTACGTTGTTTGAGCTATGGTTTGATACTTAGCTTCAACAGTGGACTGAACAATTGGTTTTTGCTTTTTGATCTTACAAGAAGTAAGTAAGTCACTAGGAAAATCGCAAAAACCTGTAGTAGACTTCCGATTGGTAGTAGCCCCCACAAAATCAGAAACAACGTTAGCACAAAGCTCAAGAGTGGAAAATGAAGAGAACAACAAAGCATGATCAAGTTATTGTTTGATTAGATGAATGGAGGCCTCATCATCAACATAGAGTAGGATAATTACACGTCCTCTGGGTGTGACTGAGACAAATATAGTAAGGTCATGATAGCTTTATCGAAAACTTATGGGGACAACAGCAGAGCTAAAGTTTCAAACCAAGCTTGAGGAGCTTGTTTAAACCCATAGAGTGTGTGTCGTAGTCGACATACTCTATTGTTAGGATCTAAAACCCCATGAGGTAACTTTATATAAACTTCTTTTGCAAGATCACCATTAAGAATTGTATTTTTTACATCAAGTTGATATAGTGGCCATTGGTGAACAACAACCACAAAAATTAGAGTGTGAACTGTAATCATGTGGGCAACAGGAGCAAAGGTTTTAGGAAAATTAATTCAAATTTGTTGATTATAACCTTTAGCCACAAGACATGTCTTATAGCGTTTGTTGCTGCCATCAGCTTTAGTTTTGAGTTTGTACACCCATCAACGAATGACACGTTTATCTTTAGGAAGAGGTACGAGATTCAAGCATGCATTTTATTAGGGGAAGTCAGTTCTTCTACCATGGCATGTTACCACTCGTATTACATGGTAACTTCCTCATAAGTTTGTGGCTCAGAGCTAGAATGAACAGAAGTAAGTAAGGCTCAACACTTCAGTAAAAATGTTTCATAATCAATAAAACAAACAGGTAAGACATATACACGATTACTATGATGCACATAAGCCATATGTACATGAGCAACAAGTGCAGGTGCAAGTGCCTAAAGTGGTTCATCAGCAGCAGTTGAGTGTTCTACAGCCGAACCATACGTAAGAGGTATGGGTGAGGTTTCAAACACATCAGAAACATCATCAAATAAAGGGACCAGAAAAAAAGTGGAGGATAAGTCAACAGCACGCGAAGGGGAATGAAAAAGAATATGCTCAAAGAATACCACATGTTGGGATACCAAAAGTTTATTAGTCAAGGGGTCACAAAATCTATATCCTTTTTGGTGATTAGAATAGCCTAACAAACAACATTTAACTGCTTTGGCTTATAGTTTATCCTCTTCAGATGCTGGCAACATAACAAAGCAAGTGCAACAAAAAACACGAAGAATAGAATAGTCTAGGGGTTGGGCAAACAATCATTCAAAAGGGAAACAACCAGATAATATACCAGAAAGCATAATATTGATCAGATAAGTAGTTGTACGAACAACTTCTGCTCAAAAAACCTTTGGAACCAAGGCTAACAAGAGAAGAGCTCATACACTTTTTAATATATGATGGGTTTTGCGCTCAGCAATACCATTTTGTTCAAGAGTATACATACAAGATTTTTGGTGTTGAATATTTTTGTCAGAAAGAAAATTTTAAAATACCCTGCTAATACACTCCCCACCAGAATCTAATCGTAAGGCTTTGATTTTGTTAAAAAATTGATTTTTAATGTACGAATAAAACCAGACAAAGATGTCATGCATTTCACTGCAGTTATTGTAAAGAAAACCAAGTATATCTAGTGCACAAGTAGCCACGAGTATCTTCTATGTGAGTGACAAACTCCTCCTAATTTTTGCTCATATTTGGAGGACGCTAAGAGGGCTTCCAAGAAGAACAAGAAGAGCAAAAAATAGTTTTAGTGTGTTTTTAGTTTTTAAGGCTATTTTAAATGTTATTTATTTATTTATTTCATTGCTAGACCAATTAGAGATTTTTTAGATATTTTAATTAAAGTTAAGGATTTTAGCTTCAAGTTATATTTAAGTTAGGATCTTTTAATTAAAAGTTAAATTGTATGGACAAATATTATCCAAAACAAGAATTTTTTCAATATAAATAAAGGCATGGATGGGCTGGAAAGTCATTCATGTATTCCACTTTAAGATAAGAAAGATTTTGGTCTTTTAAAAGAAGCCTAAAATTTGAACCCTAGTTGGGAGAATACCTTAGGGTTTCTCCAAAATTGTGTGCTTCTTGCTGATTTTCTTAGTTTCTTCAAGTTCTCCCTACACCAAGTGGTATCAAAGCTTTATAAAGATAAGGTGTGGGGCGATGTTCAAAAAGGGAAATGAGGTAACAGTTTCTAAACACTATCTAGTTTCTTTTTCTATTGGAAAGCATTATAAAGATGAGGTGTGGGGTGATGTGGTGCCTATGGAGGAATATCATTTATTATTGGGTAGATCATGGCAACATGATAGACATATCATACACGACAGATTTAAAAATACTTATTCATTTGTCAACGATGAGATAAAAGTCGTTTTAGGTCCATCTACGAAGGAAAGTACATCCAAATCAAATGAAGGGTGTGCTAGCCTTCTTTCTTTAGCTGAGTTTATGGAGGGACATCCAACATCACATAGACTTCATTCCGAGGTCAAGCCTACCAAACAAGACTGCATATAGAATGAGCTCAAAGGAGAATAATGAGTTGCAGAGACAGGTCACAGAGCTTCTGCATAAGGGATTCATACGAGAGAGCAAGAGCCCTTATGTTGTCCCAGCCTTGTTAACACATATAAAGGCTGGGACTTGGAGCATGTGTGTGGATAGTATGGCCATTAACAA